TTTTATAATTCCAAAAAATGTAACTCTACGACGTCGTACTCTGTGCAACAGCCTACATGTCATCAGTTTGGCATCCCTGAACTGCCAAACTTGTGAAACTTTTTTTGGTTTAAATCATGTTTCTAGTTTTTCAGAGTTTTGTTTTATATACATGCACTTTTACTGGATTTATTGTTTATTTTTATTTTATTATTTGGAAAAATAAACAAACCCGCTATGCAATGTAATGTGTGTACATTGTTATTTGTTATTTAGAAAATCAGGCTTAAAACAGTGACAACTTTTTCTGAATGCACACATTTTGTGCAAAACGTGCACAAAAAGTATCTACACCCTAAAACAAGGTGAAAAAGAGGCCTACTAAGGTAATAATTCCTAAAACAAATACATTAATTTGACTTATGTTTATCACACTACAAGAGGCTCGACAGACAGTACAAAATTGGTACACTAATACAATGTGAGAAATTAAGGAGGCAGTGGAGAAGATGGTTCTTCACATTTATCAATAACACTGTCATGCCTAGACACACACAACTGTGTTTTCATCCATCTCAACAAATGACCATTTATCTTGGCTGCAGTGTAAATGAGGACAACCTGAGGTAAAGGTATCAGATCAAGGTCTCCTATGCTTTGTTGGACAGGTATGGCAGTGAGGAAATGGTGCCATGAACGCCTGGCTGGGCTGAGTGAGTGTCAGGGGCTTGTGTGCAGCTTGGCTTCACAGGAGGATAAGGTGTAGTCACTCAGTGCTGACCTGGGAGCTTGTCGCAGGGGATGTAATGAGGTCAGATTACAGGCTAGTCCACAGACTGGCTGCAAAAGGTTGGCCCGTAATCCTTCAGTCATTAAAGGAATGCTTTGTTAAAAGTGGATGGAAGAGAGGGGGGAAAGGAGATGGAGAGAAGGCAGAAGAGGGGGAATCTAAGAGGTGTGTGGGGAAACTCAATAACACTTGATTCGATATGAAAAGCCTCTTGTTGCCACCCAGGAGAAGCCCATCGGAGAAGGATGGGAGGGAAACCAGCCGAGGGACTCCTACAACCAGGAACAAGACATGCCTTGTTCCGGGTTTAAGGAGCAAACAGATTAAGATAAATTGATGCAAGCTTAGTGACTTTGGAGAATGGGGAAGGAAAGAAAAACGCCCACAGATCAATAAGGCTTAAGAAGCCAGCTACCAAAGACAGAACCACTACTCACATTCAGGGGGATAACATTCAATGAAAGGTCTCAGATCTCATATATCCCTATTTGGTGTGGCCTAGATTAAAAGAGGTTTAGGTGTTAAATACCAGAATATGAAAAATCTGAGGAATTGGGACAAAACCAGATTTGGTTTTCAGGAATAACTACATACAAATGTATTCATCATGTATATTGGAGATATACAGTATCTTATCATTAAATGTATGCATTGCATACATTTAAAACAAGAACAACATTTTGAAAAATGTGTTTTAATCTTTTTTCTTTTTTTCATCATTTGCATTTCTGGGATTTGAAAACATAGGCGCTTGCACAAACTGTGAGCATAAAAAAGCACAAGGGGGTTTTGAAATAAAGCATATGCAGATCACACCAAAAGTCTTACAGATAGCTTTCTAACATGCATCCAGTGTCCCACAGTGCAGTGTGACAGATCTGTGCCGAAGCCAGTCTGGCGGGGCCTGTGCCCTGATGTTTGCAGAGATCAGAGAGAATCATCTGGGTTAACACGGTAATTATACGCCAAAGCCCTGCTACCTCACGCTGGATCTGATACTGTTTTTCCTACTCTTAGCTCCAAGATCTCAGGCCCCCCGTCGAAAAAGGAGCGACAGTTGCCTTCCAGAGCTAATTCCTCAAGAGGTTGTACCACCACAGTCAATTTAAAGAAAATAAACTTGCAACAAGTGCATTTCATTTTGTATTCAAAACAGTCTCAAAAACTCGTTTCTGGATTTAGGCCAAGTAGTTTTAACAGTTTGTAGTCTTCTGATTTGTTTATGATTAAGAATGAAAAATGATCAACTGATTTCTCACTAGTATAAACACAGCTTTAAGCAACTACAAAACTAATTAAGAAACAAATAACTTTAACCTGCTTCATATAACATGGGAATTGTGCAAAAATATCCTATTGTTTGGTGGATAAAGAGAATTTCAAATTTTAAAAAAAGTCTGACCTTTGGCAAATCTAAAATTAGTGTGTGTTCTTTGCATCTCTCATGGTGTTTTAGACTCAACCTGCAGCTGACCTTCAATCAATCTCAATTTTGAAACAAAAAAAACAAATATTATTTTGCTATAGAAAGACCGAGCAAATATAACAATATTATTACCGTATTAATCACTGTTCCGCTCACCAATAAACCTGCATGGGGGCAGAGGAATTGTACGGCTAATACGGTTATTTCCCCATATGTTTGTTTATGTTTTTCAGTATTTATTGTATTGTGTATTGTTTCTGTGACCGCAGGTGCGCCCTTTCACCCCAAAGTCATTAGCCTTTACAATCTCATGTCTCTAAACTGCATCATGCTGGTGCAAAACACGTGCAGGGAAGGAGAGAGCGCGGGAAGGGGAGGAAGGCTCTAGGGCCAATTACAGCCCCAGGAAAACAAAGGGCTATATTTCAATGATTCCTCCAGCTGTGCTGTTTATGAGCTGTGTGCTTACTCTCTCTGTGACCTTCACCTCCACACTTGCCCTAGCTGAGGGAAAACAAGTTAAAATGGTCCGAAGCTCAATCTTTCATTTCCCCTTGGTTTTTTCCACCATTTCCACTGGTTCTCCCACAGTTTGCTAAAAAAGCACATTGTATATTTGATTCAGGGCTCTATTAATATTTGTTATTTCACAGTTTTTCATGGTGTAGCAGTTTTAGTCTCACCTTGACATGCATTTGTGCCAGGTGTGGAATAACATTAGATGTAAAACTAATAAAAGATATGGACTAATCTAAGGCTTAATGGCAAAATGTGTGACATACGTAACCTGTATAACTCTGCCTGCCAGTCAGTCTGTCCCCATAGCACACACACAAACAAACACTCATGCACACACATTACTGATCTCATAAGCAGAGTCTGTGTATCAGTCACTGTGGCCATTGGACAGGTCTAACCTTCCCACGTGGCAGGGTACGCCACCTTCACTGCAGTCCCATTGACCAAAGCAATAAGCCATTCTATATAGTGTATTAAAGTCATTTAATACATTTTCCATGCTACCTCAGCATGCCCCATTGTTC